GAGCAGTTATTAAGTGCTAGTGATTATTAAATGCTAGTGATGAGCTGCGTCCTACTTAGGGTTTTGCATACTGTGCTCCAACAGTCCTCTCGCAGCTCCGTGGCGATGGGGACCACCATTTCCATTTTAATTACACAGACTTAGAATCCGGTAGCCAGAGAATAAAATAAACAGCCCAGGAAGACACAGCCAGTAAAAGATGGGGTCAGGGTTCAGACGAGGGGCGTGCTTTAAACCTGAACTATTACCGACTCCCAGGAAAGTTAGTGTCTAAGAGGATGGTGAAGAATATTTGTGAACATACGTTTAGGGCAATGCTTCCCTACCTAATTACAAGGGAGAATACATGCTGGGTGGAATTTGCGGGGACTTTTCCCAGTGTCTCTGTGAGCCCGTGGCTGGCAGAATTGCTGCTGAGGTGCAAGCCGGTAGGCTTCACGGGGTAGGGAGACTTAAGTTTTGCCTTCCGCAATCAGGCTCGTCCAGGTGAATGAGGCTGTGCAGGATGTGTGATTGCTGGAGACAAGCTGGGCCTTTTCTTCAGGTTAAGTATCACTTTACCAGCCCAGGTTCTTTCTTGAACATTTAGCCCTGTCCTCACATGTTTTCTATGCTGGAAGAAGAGATGGCCCCCAGCTTTCTCATAGCCCATCTTCCAATGACCATGAACTCGGCCTCTGCAAGAGTGTAGCTAGGCTGAGGCCTACACATTTTAGGTCCGTCCTAAGTCTGTGCAGAGCCATTTTGTCTTTTTGTGAAGAGTTACTCTCTCACATTCCCCATGATTTACAAAGGCTTCAGTGTTTGCTCCAATTCAGTCTGGAATCTCATTCTTCTGTACCGGCCCCTCCCCACTTTTGGAACCTTTACACAATTGACCTGAGTTTCCGCCCTCTGAGGTTTCACAGATTTCCCTGCCCAGTCAAGGCATTCATTGTGCGCCTATCCAAGACCAGAATCAAAGGTGCTTCCCATTGAAAAGGGACCCCTTCAGTCTTTCTAGACTCACTACTTTGCTTGCTAAGGTCAACAAACAGTGCTGGAAGTGGTAGGTTGATCAAGGCTCCCGGCAGGCCAAGCTACAAAGAAGGCAAAGAGTGAGCCCTGCGCTCCACCCAGGTAGCGAGACTTTTCTGCTGAACGTGCTGGGAGCTAGCAGGGCTCCCCAAGAAATGTTGTCACTTACACTCCAAAGGAATCCAAGGCTGCATCATTCAAACTATTAATTTTTACTTTTGTCCAAGAGTAGCCTTTGGGCGCTGGAGTGATAGCTCAGCGGTTAAGAGCACTGTCTGATCTTCTAGAGGTCCTAAGTTCAATTCCCAGCAACTACAGGGTGGTTCACAACCATCTATGCCCTCTAATGCCCTCTATTGGCATGCAGGCGTACGTGCAGATAGAGCACTCATATACATAAAGTAGATAAGTAAAATCTTTAGCCTTTGGGATCAAGCTTCTTGCTCATGTGCTCATATGAGCTCAAGTGGTAAAACACATTAGAAAACAAGAGGTTTCTTGCTAAGATAACAAGTAAGGGGGCTGGAGGAGTGGCTCAGAGGTTAAGAGCACTGGCTGCTCTTCCAGAGGTCCTGAGTTCAATTCCCAGCAACCACATGATGGCTCACGACAACCATCTATAATGGTATCTGGTGCCCTCTCCTGGCATACAGGTGTACACACAGGCAAAATACTGTATACATAATAAATAAACCTTAAAAAAGTACCTAAATCTACTCCCTAAAGTAGACTCAATTTTTCTGTTAGTAGAGCATATACTTTTAGATATGCATTCCCTTTCATTTTGTATGTATGAACGTTTGCCTTCACGTGTGTGTGCAGCGTGCATCATGTGCGGAGTGTCCTTGGAGGCCAGAAGAGGGTGTCAGATTCTATTAAACTAGTTACAGATGATTGTGAGCCCCTCCCTGGGTGCTGGGACCCAAACCCTGGAAAGGCAGCAGGCACCGTGACTCACCGAGCCATCTCCTCTGTCCCAGTCAGCAGAATATTTTCATTTTAATCCAGGGAGTCGTGTTGTTGCCTAGATGGGGCCACGTTCAGTGTCATCTAGTCACTCAGATCTCTTGCACCGCTGAAACTGTTGGTAGGCTTTGGACTCCAAACCCCCAGAAAAAGAACGTTTCCATCAACCAGCCGTCTCACAGTATCTGTGAGCGACTGGGCCCCAAACCTCTGGTACCAAAATCAATGCTGCGCTCGTGGAAGTGTCTAGTACAGAATGGTGTAGAATTTACACCCTGCTGTGCCCTCCTCTCTAGATTCTCAGCACAACACAATGTAAGGCACTGTTATAGTGAATTCTTTAGGCAATAACGGAAGGAAACATTTATACATGCTCAGTATGGATGCTGTTTTCCTAACAGATTTTAAAGAAAGTATTGTCAGGTTTGTTTATTAATGCCTGTGCTTGTGGATGTGGTTTGAGTGTGGAGGTCAGTTGGCTCTCCCCTTCCACTCTGCTGGTCCTGAGTCTGAACTCAGGTTGTCCCACTTGATGGCAATCACTTTTACCTGCTTAGCCATCCTATCGACCCCTCCAAATACTGTTGACTCACAGTGGGCCGAATCTGGAAATGTGGAACCCAGGGGTGAGGAGGGCTGACTGTGCAAAACTCAGAAGCCCCGGCTATGCAGGGATGTTTTCTTTGTAGCACACTGGCATCTGGAGCATTCAAGATGTCAGGGTTTGAGACTACAGAAAACAGGTGTTGTCATTTACAACCTCCTTGAAGAGCCATTGGGAAGAATGCATTTCCCCCTGGGTACCTCTTTCTGCTTCCCTTCCCAACGCCAGAGTCTCTCACTGGAGAATCTCCTCACCGAGGCTCAGAAGCAGCGGCCTGGTGGCACTGGTTTTCCTCACTTGTTTCCAGGTCTTAAACACTGGTTTCCAGGTCTTGCCCGTCTACTTGTCCAAATGGGGACTTGACCATCTTCCTCAGTGCTGTGAAAACCATTCCAGGCAGCCGACAGGAGGGTCTGTGACAGGACAGAGCTTGGCTTTTGCCATTTACTAAAATATCTCCTGCTTTCTGCCATGTTCACTCTAAGTTCAGGCTTGTGCTCATCTGTTGAGGAGACATAGGAAATAACCCCTTGGCCTCCTAAACCCAGACGTGGGATGACATCAGGACTTTCACAGGGAAAGCATGTTGTCCCTAAAGTAGCCTTGCTCTCTTCCTGCTTTGTGGGAGACAGTGAGTGACTCAAGGGGAATTTAGGAGCTATTTGTAAACTTAAAAATTAGTTAGAAGCGAGGGAGGGATTTCAAACAGGGTCACTAGTTTCTGTTTGCAAAAGGGATTGATTGGGTCCTGGTTTCGCAGCTGAAAGTCAAACAGCTACTGAACAAACAAAAGGTAAACTTCAGCACCTTTAACTCTCAACACTGGAGAGTGAACACAAACATACTCACACACCAGGATTTTAATGCATATGCCATTTATTTAAACCAAAATTAGTTTAGAGTTTCATGGAATGGGTTTCAAAGATTAAAAAAAAAGTCATGTTCTAAACAAACTTTTTTTTTTTTTTTTAATTTCTACTAAAAAACTAAATTACATTGTCCAGGAGGGGGTTGGACCCAAACACAGGAAAATGCTCTTCTCCAATAACCTTCTCCTCTATCTCTTTCTCCTTGTCCTTTCTTTATCCCCCTTCTCTTTCTCTTTCTCCTGCTCATTCACCTTCTTTTCTTCCTCTTTCTTCATTTTTGTACGTAGCCCAGGTTGGACTTGAATTCTTTCTTTTCTTCTTTTCTTCAAGACAGGATTTCTCTATGTAGCCCTGGCTGTCCTGGAACTCACTCTGTAGACCAGGCTGGCCTCAAACTCACAGAGATCCACCTGTCTCTTCCAAATGGACTTAAATTCTTGACCCTCCTGCCTTAGCTGGAATTCTTCAATGTTAGAATCCAGCATTCAAAAGCAGACTCTGGGGATTGGCTGAAATGTTTAAGGAGCCTGGATGAGAAGAAATTGGTGAAAAGGCAGTAAGTGTGATCAGGTTGTGTAATTAAGTCCTTGCCTCTCCGTGGCCCCTGGAGATTCTGTCAGTTGCTCCTCTTCCTTTGAATCGGTTTCAAAGGCATGCTGTGTTATTTGGGGACTGGTATAGATACTGCTTAAGGACCAGAATGAGAGAAGATGGCTACCTGTATGCTCGTTTCCAAGTCTGTTTCATACAGGTGGAAGAATTGGGCCAGGAAGTTAGAGGAAACTGGAGAGGAGGCACCATGGCCACAGCTGACAGTTTTTTCAGCCAATTGGTGAGCATGAGTCCACTTGGTAGGCATAAAACCCAGGTGAAAATGAGTATCAAATAATTACTCACGTGGACTATGGAAAGAACGACAGAGGTGGTATTGAAGACACAGGCCTGCATTTTCGATTCAGATCTCTCCCTTAGTACTTGTGTTATGGTGGCAAGAAAGTAGGCAGTGAGCAAAAAATTCTCTTTTCTTTTTTCCTTCTCCTTCTTCACCCCCTTTATTCTGTGGCACCAGGTATTAGATCCTAAGCACATTCTCTGCTGCTGACACATGCTCTGAATCCTAAAGGACACAGTTTCTGTTACTGTGGGGATGTAATTAGAAACACACGGCACAGCCCTGCTTCTACCCTTAAGACTGTGAGTGGGGCGGGGGGGGGGGGGGGGGAAACGGGGGGGGGGGGGGGGAAAAAAAAAAAAAAAAAAAAAAAGAAAGTGGTTAAAATGTGTGTGTGAGGGGCTTATAGCTAGCTGGCAGCGTAACGCAGCGGCAGCAACACCGGAACGAAGACTCCAAGCACACGCCATTGTCAGCGTAAAAGACTTCAGTTCTGGAATCTTCAGACAGGGTCCCTCACAACCTGAGCAGCAGCATCTAGGGAACACAGTGTGTCATTACAGCAAAAGTGAGAATACCTGCTTCCAAGGACAACTGCTTAGGTTTTGGAAGACTAGGGCTTCAGTGAAAACACATAGGCCTGAAAGCAGTGCATTGATTATTTTATTAATTTCTTCTTTGTACATTATGGGAAACATTCATCTATTTACAGGTTGTTATTTTATTTTATTTTTGTCCACACACAGTCTAGGTTAATAAGCCTATGAAATACCATTTCAGAAAGCCATAAAAATCTTCCCCACCCCTCCATCTGAAGGCTTTCAAATGAATCTTTTTTTTTTCCCCAAACCAAAATAATTTTTAAAAATTACATTAGGGAATTCAGATATGCTAATGATTTACATTCCAGTTATTTAAAATATGCATCTAGACATGTTCTTAAAAAAGAAATGGTAAATTCACAAGGATAAGGGTTAAATTAAAGCAGTACTGCACAGTAAAACATTAAGGGAACATCTATAAATAACAGAAATATATTACAAATAAATTAGTTCTATTTACCATTTCAAATATTAAAAATCTTTAATCCATTTCTTCATCTCTCTTTACAAAAAGGTTATGTGAATTGTATGGAAACGTCTGCAAAAAATATAATAAATACTTAATTTCTTTGAACGTATTTTTTTTGTTGTTGTTTTTGATGAGGGAAACAAACTTCTTTTGTGATCTTCCCTCCCACCCCACCCCAAGAAAATGCCCAAACACCTTTATACCAAAGTTAAACAAAATAAGTAATTTTCAGGGTACATACACTGTTCATTATGAACTAAATAACATCTCTACAAATTACATCAAAAAGAATAATGCAACAAAGGTTATGCTCACAGATTCAGTTTCTGGGTTCCAGTAGTAGATAACACGCTGTATTGTGTGGGGTTGTGTCCTAAGATCAATAATTAGCTTTTTTGTTTTTTTGTTTTTTATAAAGTGTTTGTACAGTTGAACTGTGATTTCCAGGAAGGCAAAGGCTGTGATGCCCTTCAGGCGTTCAGCTAAAAGATTTAAAATTCTTACCAAAAATAGCTTATGAATATACAAATGCCATTCACGTAGACAAGATAAATAGGCCTTCTCTCTTCTCTCTTTAAAATAGCCTAGGCTAAATCAGTTCCCAAAGAAAACACTGTAGAAGGATCTGGAATCACGTTAGAGACTGATCTCACTCCTACCTCAGGGCAGGGAGCTGGAGTGGTGAAAGTGGGTCAGAGCGGATCTAGAATGGATGCTGCTTCCTGGGAATTCCAAGTCTTGGATGAATGTGACCACGGGCTACCAAGGTGACGGTCGGTTGGCGTTACTCCTGCCTATGTCATGTGATCTTTCACTGCTGCGACTCGGTAAAGTAAAAGCATATTTTTTTTTTTTCTGAAACTAGCAAATTCTTAAAGCTCAAAAATCTCTGCTCCAGTTGGACAAAGCGCTGCCTTTGTCTGCCCTAGTTAAAAGTTGTTGTTGTTGTTTTGAATAAGTTATAGCCCTTTTCTTGTAAACCACAGCAGTAAACATTTGTGCCCTGTGGATAAAGGTAACTCAAAGCATCAATGGCTCTGAGAGGTAGCAAATTCTCTAGAGGTTTTAGAATATGTCTGAAAATACTGGTTGCCAGAACCCATCGCTTCTCTTAATTTTGTAAAGAAAATTAAATTAGCACCTGGCTATGAGAGTGTTTTTTTAAAAGCATTTCTGGTGCAAGCATTTTTTTTTCTTTTAAGTCTTTCATTTTTCTATGGCAAATTTCTAATTATTTAGGCTGCAAGCTTGACATATTAAAAGGCTGATCCTTTCAGATCGCCACGTTCAGAATGTTTAAACTGCTACAAGTAAGGGCGTTTAAGACTTCAGCAGGATGCCAGTGAACAGTCCATCAACCACGACTGAACTGCAAGCCAGCAGCAAGCCTGTATCCAACCAAAAGCTTGGATTCCTGTCAGTGGTTTCAATGACGACTTTTCCCCCTCCTCTTAGCTCTTGACCCCGGCATATCCAATGACTTCTCTCACTATCTGGAACTCCAGGATCATAACGACAGCTCTTTGGAACGAGGCAGCATGTCAACTGGGGTAGAAAACCTTTTATTTTATTCATTTGACATAGAGCAAAAAATCCTGTGCTGGGGAACACGTGAACCCTGTACTGGAGAGGAGGACCGTAGGAGAAAGCGCCCCTCAAGTGTGAAGTGCTGGGCTAAGCTCGATGGATGGGTGGCATTCAAAGGGGTGGCAGGAGAACCCGAACTCTCCTCTGGAAATGGCCTTCCTGTGTGAAATTCTAAGTGGGCCTACCCTGATGGACACTAAGGTAACAGAACCAGGTCCTTATTCCCCCTCCCGTTTAAAAACCACTGCTGTGACATTATAATACAGAGAGTACAAGAAAAAGTTGATAAGACATTTCAGGCCTAAATTTTCTTAATAAGATAAATAATAAATAGATTCCTTATGTAGGATCTTAAGCCACCGGTGTTTCCTTTCCCTTAGCTTTCTTCATTTTATTGCCTTTCAGAATAGGTTAATTTCCCTGAAAGATCGGATTTACAATCTTCTGCTGATTGAAACGTTTGAAGCTGTGATTGATGAAGTACCAGCAAGGCAGTTTGTACAGCCGCGAGGGCGCAGATGCGGGGTACCTGCGCGCTTCGCCCTTCCCTCCTACACACCAGGCCCCCAACCCTAGGCCAGCTCGGTCCCCTCTCTCTTAGTCACCACTGATCCCCGTGAGATGGTGTGATTTCTGAGATTAGAAATAAAGCGCTCTCCGCTCGTAAAAGATAACCGTTTGGGGCAAATAAAGGGGAGTCGGAGCCCTCGTTTCTTTCACGTGGAAGACGGTAAGTCCCCAAGGGTCACCCTGTGTGATACTGGGTTTCTGAATTACCCTATGGTTTTATATTGCTGAGTTCTAGGGACGTGCTAGCTTGAGAGAACTGAGGAGGGCGAGGGACCTACAGGTGTCGTCTCTACACAAGTGGGTTTGCTTGGCCCAGAAAAGAAAGGGTTTGGATGTCTGCGCGAGGCTTCAGGACAGGGGGGCGAAGCTCGGTGGAGAAGATGGGCCGCGTGGTCCGGGAAGCGGGGCGGTCTGGGGGACGGCTGCGCCAGGACGGCCGCGGAGCTGAGAGGCGGAGGGGCGGGGAGGCGGGCCGGTCCTCGGCGGCGCTCAGAGCCGGGTCTGCGCCTCGGGGATGTAGATCTCGATGCTCTCGGCGCTCTCGGTGGCCGAGTTCTGGCGGACCGACGCGGCGCGCTTGGCGGCCATCAGGCGCTTGCGGGCCTCCTGGCGCTGCGAGCTCTCCAGCGAGCGCTCCCGGATCAGCGGCGCGGGGCCCTTCGCCGGCTTCTTTGGCACTGGAGGAGGGGCCCTTCGCTCCTGATCAAAGCAGAAGGTTCAGGACATTACACAGCTTCTCAGGACAAGCTTGGGAAAGACTGGGATAGGTCAGTAGTTCGAAACACACACACTCACACTTCTGCTTGCTCTTTTTTTTTTTTTTTTCCTCAAAACCTAAGGATGGTTAGTTCTGATCTGCACACTGTATAAATGCATTCTCTTCATTGCTCTGGTTTGGGTATTCAAAAGTTGCCGAAAAAAAAAAAAAAAAAAAAAAAAAAAAACCAAAACCGCACATAATCTCTTACGCTTAAGGCCGAGGGTAAATTACGCTGGATCGCAGAAGGACAAGGACAAGGTCTTTCCATGGCAAGATGTGGGCATTTAAAACGCACCCCTGCAAAAGGCTCCCTGCCCCTCACAGTGCCAGGAGAGCTCAGCCGCTAGACTCATTTACGACTCAGTCAGGTGGGAGCTTGGTTTAAAGGCTGAAACCTCCTCTCTCCCCCTGGGCCCACCCAAGCTCCCATTCCACCCACTCCTAAGTAGCCAGGTGCGGTTGTAAGATTGTGCTTCTCGGCTTCGAGGGTGCCGTCGTGAGGTACACCCTTCTGCTGAACACCACACTGGAGTACACGGGCTGAGCGGGTAGGTGGGTGGGGCAGAGGTTTCACAGGGTCAAGAGGGGAGACTGGTATTTCCTACTCTAGGGAGGATCTTCCCAGACCATCCGTCCCTGGCGGTTCCAGCACACCTGCAGTGGCTCAGAAGGCAATCCCAACTGAAACCGTGTTATCAGAGTTGAACACAGGTATTGGAAAAGGCCATCCCTCTTATCAGCAATCTCTGAAACGGTTTCAGATCTTTTCCATTCTACTGCAAAACACAGCCACTCTTCCCCGCCCAAGTGGTACCTACACAGCGGGAAAGAACGAAGGATGCTGTTAGGAGGAAGGTGTTGACCTTTCAGGCTTTGAAATGATCCCCACATTCCCGTTTTAAATAGAAGACCCTGCATCCTTATGAAACCAAATATGAAGTTTATGACCCGGGCACTGCGTCTCCAACTTAACAGGGACGCTGAGTACAGCAGCTCCTTCCCAGGGCGCAGTGCGGAGTGAAGTATTAGCACAACCATGGCTGTTTAAAGTGGAGCCTGTGTTTCTGAAAGGACAAAGAGGGAGAAGACAGAGCGCAAACAGTCTCACACCACCTCAGTCTCTTCATCATTTTTCTTTCCTGTCATGTTCGTAAGATGATGAAAAGCTCTGGTCATAGGTAAAATGCATTAAAAAAAAAACATAAAAATTAAGCTGATAATTTAACACTAGGGCACCTACCAATACGTCACTTGGAACAATTTCTTTGCACCACTTCTTCGGGACATTTTAAAATCTTCATTGTGGGGTGACTGGTAGATTTCTTTTTAACAGTATGAATAGTGGAAACTTTTTAGTCATTTTTCTTTCTTTGCACACTTTATTATTTTTTTTAACAATAATGTTAAAGAATCAGAAGGAGAAATTAGATGGAGCAATACTAAAATTCCAGTGTGTATACACTTGTGTATACTTTTAAGACCAGTTTAAAAGCCTTGCCCGCAGATGATTTCACACATAAAGAAAACTAGATGAAGCACAATGTTTGGCTTCTCAAAGGAGACGTCACACACATACCAATAGTACTTTCAAACTTGCTTCTAGCCACCGCCCCCCCCCCCCCGTCCCCCCAGTTGGATGGTCATAGAACTGGAGAAGGTGATAGTGGCGACAGCATTGTCCTCCTATAGACAGTCCCTGGGGACTGGGTTTGTACCAGATGCCCACTGTACACTTGGAAATGATGGGCAACAGCAGATTGCTGTTAGCTCTGTGTGGGTCAGGAGACCTAGAAGGGCAGAGCTCTCCCTGCTCCAAGGGAATAGCCATCCCTCATTTCCAGAGGTATCTCTTGGAACTATTTGACCTCGGGTCATAGAGGAACAAAACTCATTGGAAGAGTCATACAGGACCAATCAGCCTGAGAAGGCAGACAGTAGATACTTGCAGAAGCCTAGCAGAACTGCAGTGATCAAATGTGATATTATTATTGATGAATTAAAATAATTTAAGTCTTTATTTCTAAACTTGTTGAATGAGGATCCAGGGGACACCATCCCCCCAGGCAATCAATCAAAAGTATAAGTCAGAAAAGAAAAAAACTCAATGTTTCCGATGACTATAAGTCTCAAAGTGAGCATTTTAACTTGAACATCAGCGACTTCTTTATCACTGTATTTATGAGATGATTGTCAGTCAGTTACATCTTAGGATTTCCTATTTTTTTTTCTCATAAACACATCCTGAGGGCATAAGGAATTTGAACTCTTGCTCTATGGAACCATGCACTGAAGAGATCATTTATTTTAGTTTAGAAAGCAAAACTGAAGGCAGCTCCTTCCAGTGTCTAACGTGATTTAACTTAAAGTTTAATTAAAAAAAAAGAAAGAAAGGAAAGAAAAGAAAGGAAGAAGGAAATGAAAAAGATAAAGAAAAGCCACATTCCCACTTTCCAATTCACAAAGACAAGGTTTTCTTCAAAAATATGCCTGAGACATATTACAGATGCTATCCCAAATGATTAGTATGTAAACATTGCCGGTACAACGGAATGAATATGATGGCAGCTCCATTTCACATTGTAAACAGCAGGACTGACCACAGCAGCCTACTTAGACTGTCCAGTGTTTGTGCAGGTTTTTAAATGAAGCATACAAAATCTACATTGTTCTACCTTCTTGTCAAGAGGATCCATCTGTTTCCAATTATTGGCCTTTAACTGATGAAGTTCATCAAATTTCATACTAATATTTTCTATGGACAACTGCAGCATGTCCCAAAACCCCGCCAAATCCTGGGAAGTGGGTCTTGGATGAGCATTGGGATTCTGTGTAAAAAGAGAGAAAAATATTGGTGCTTTAGAGGCAACACGGCAACAAACAGGGCCAAAAGGCATTTTCAGACATTTCAAAGAGACTAAGGAGGCTGAGTTCCTTTCAGCTCTTTGATAAGAGATAAAAGTGAGGCTACAATTTTATACATGCTCCCATCCCAGACCATGATTTTCAAATGTCAAGGTTGCAAAATTCCTCTGACCTTACAACTGAATGGTTGTTTCAGTCTGATGAGTGGGGAGAGTCTAAACATTTGAAAAATCCCTGAATGTGTTATCTTTTACCGGATGTATTTAAAAACACTGTATTGGGACAGGAGGAGGAAGGGAACCACAGGGGGGATACAAAGTGAATAAAGTGTAATTAACAAAGAATTAAAAAAAAAACACTGTATTTAAGTGAAAATGCCATCTATTCATTTACAAGTTCATGCCACACAGTTTATTCGGAGAATAGATGAAAATTCCAGAATATGATTAGTTTTAACACCAATGTTGAGTGAAATACTAGTGTGCAGAATTGACAAGCAATAAGGTATTTTCAAAATACTTGTGTGGTGAGGTTTCTTTGATGCTAGAGACTGAGTTGGGATTTGAATATTTGAAGCAAATGATTAACCACAGAGACACATACCTAGTCCCTGAAATTGCCATATTCAGTAATTGAGACATTACTAATATATATAAAATAGAACAATTTTATCATATGACACATTGGGAATTAGCCGGTTTTAAATATAGCAAATCTCAGAAAAACATTATCTTTGCACATGTATATGTGTTTTGGTAATACTTTCCTTTTTAGAATAACAAATCTTTCCATGTTTAAGAGCTGACTTTTAGGGGCTGGAGAGATGGCTCAAAGGTTAAGAGCACTGGCTTCTCTTCCAGAGGTCTTGAGTTCAATTCCCAGCAACCACATGGTGGCTCACAACCACCTGTAATGAGATCTGGTGCCCTCTTCTGGAGTACAGGCACACATGCAGGCAGAACACTGTATATATAATAAGTAAATCTTAAAAAAAAAAAAAAAAAAAAAGCTGACTTTTAAAAGAATTAGATAAAACTTATTATTATCAGCTGGGCATAGCAGCTCATGCCTTTAATCCCAGCACTTGGGAAGTTGAGGCAGGTGGATCTCTGTGAGTTTGAGACCCCAGCCGGGCCTACAGAGCAAGTTCCAGGACAGCCAGGGTTATACAAAGAAATCATGTCTCAAAGAAAACTTCAAACAAACAAAAAATTATTATGGTGTGTGTGTGTGTGTGTGTGTGTGTGTGTGTGTGTGTGTGTGTGTGTACCACAACATGCATGTGAAGGTCGGAGGACAACTTTATGGAGTTTTTTCTCTCCTTCCACCTTTGTGCGTGTCCCAGGAATTTAACTCGTGTCATCAGGCTTGAGAAGCAAGTACCTTTACCATGCAAGCCAGCTGGTCGAGCCAGGAACTGACTTTTGTTAGTTTGTGGGCTTGAGAGCCCGCTGTGTAACTGACGCTGGCCTAGGCCTGGGTCTCCTGAGTGCTGAGATTGCAGGTGCACGTTATCGTGTCTGGTTCAAGAGCTGCCGTCTTTGTCCCTGTAATCTGGTGTCACTGTCATCACCCACCGCTGACTGCAAAAGCTGCTGAAGGCACCACATGCAGCCAGAGCGCCCCTTTCTCCCACGTGGCCATATGGCCAGATACTCCTTAGCATTACAAACAACTCACGTCTTATGCTAACTGGGGCAGCTTGTACATTTAAAGTTCCCCCTAAGAAAAACGGCACCATCAGAATTTCAGAAAGTGTAAAGGCTGATGATCGTCTAATTGTTTAAAGGCTGGAAACAACATTTATACCCGAGGTTGATCCAGGATGACTGACCTTGTTCAAAGTAAATGAAAATAAAGACATACTTCTCTGTGTAGCATTCTGAAGCTACTCATAGTTACATCCTAGAGTAGATACATTCTAGAGTTAAGTGCTTGGTTCAATATTAAAGTCTGTTCTAGGGATGAGAATGAGTGTGGCTTAGCGGTACATGCTCAAGGCCTCGGGTTCAATCTTTAGCACCAAGCCAAAACAAACCAAAATAAAGTAAATACAACAAAACAAAAAGATCTAGCAATCCTTGAATGAATGAAGGGGTTCTTCTTAATGTTCTGACATTGTAGGCAGCAACTGTAACAAAAGCCCTCAGGGGGGATGGTGGCAGGCACCAGCCGTCTGTCAGCAAGGAGGCTGTCACAAGAGCGTCTCAAGTTCGAGGCTGCGCAGCAAAAACAACCCAAGACCAAAGGGGATAAAGCAAACGAGCAAAGAGACCCTTCGACATTCAGAATAGATGGCAGCTTTGACACAGCACTTCCTAATACTTTATGATTTCACAATATAGTTAACTTTATCCATAGCGGGGAAACTAAGAAATTCACATTTTGGATTTCAGTGACATTTTCTGGGTCACAGGTTTTACTGCTGTATTGTTTTAGCACCAATGAAAGAAATAATCCAGATCATCTCTTATCTTGAACCCCTTGGGAGCAGATGTTGAGATACCAGACATCTTAAGGTTTGAGAATGTTTGCCCATGCACCGTGAGATGTCTTGGAGACAGACTACAAGTCTTAATGTGAAATTCTATATATGTCACATACAACTTATACACACATCTGAAGGTAACTACATAGTTTTAGAGTGCCTGTATTTTGTCTGTTACATGTTACATGAGGTCAGATGTATGTGGTATCTACGCCTCAGTGTCCCTAAAGTTTCAGATTTTAGAGCATTTCTGATTTTGGATTTTTTTTTTTTTTTGGTTTGGGCATGTTCTACCTAGGGTTCAGCAGCCTAAGCTTTAGATTTGCTTAACTCTGTGTCATGGGCTACCTGGCCTTGCCCCTAAAGGAATCTCTTCACCCATTTTGTCAAAAAGACAAAGGAGGAAACGAAGAGGATGTGAGCACTATCCATCAGTATCCAGCAGCCACATGAGAGTGTGACTCGATGTACGAGTCTATCTGGGCCCAAACCGGATCATCTTGGGGACGAGAGGTGCTCGTGGTTCCCTTTGTCTTAGAGTCAGCCTGGCCAGCCACTGAGCAGTGAAAGTTGTGTTTGTGGAGGATACAGGCCTTTTTGAAGACCCCTCAAAGAGGCTCTTGACGTTCGTTTCACTGCCAACTTTGCAGACGTTCTTGTTGCTACTGCTGCTGTCTGAAGCGGTGCCTTAGCTTTGTTTTTGTCTGTCTGAGGTAGATGGGACATTGCTTGTCTCGGGCTTTCTAATCTACAGTTCGTGATTCCCTCGACCTCTGGCCCTTGAATTAAAACAAAACTCTGGTCAGGAGACACAGTTAGTGATGAATATTTTAGAAAGAGACCCATGAGCCAAAATCATCACCCCTGTAACAGTATTTAGGAAACATCAGTTCGCTCCATGTTTTAATAAGAATAAGAAAACCATGGAACATGGAAAGTTTTCAATACTGCAAATCAAGAAATGGGGTGTTAACTCGATTCTGCCCTAAGATTATTTAAGTGTAGAATAAAGTGTTTTTATTTTTAATTAATTAATTAATCTATTTAAAGAAAAGTGGGAGGCCAGATTCCTCGGTGAAAGACTCCAGTGAGTCTTGACTGAACTCCGTTCAAGCCGAGTTTTGCTTCGGTTGGGCCAGTCTTGAGGACAAGGTGGTACCTACCACGTTCTCTTCACACAGTTCTCTGAACTGGTAGAATTTCTGCGCCATGAGAAGTTGGGCACTGCCCACCGCCGTTCGGATTTTCCCTAGAACTGAAAAGAGCAGACATAGGCAGTTACACGGTGCCTTGTTGTTGAGACTTAACCTGGTAAATGAAGTGAAGAGTAGGTTATGCCATCAGGGTTTGGGAAAACAGCACATGCCGCATACCCACGCCCACTGCATGGATGCTCTCTTGGTCCGTGAAACCCCAGGCTGCTGGATTTGCAAGCATAAAGTAAACCTGGAAAAACACGCATTCATTGTGTTCCTGTCTTGGAAGAACTGGAGTTTTCTGTCACAGCACTGACGAACAGCCATCCTTTCACACAAATGTCATGTGTGTTTCCCGGTGCAGTTTCAGCTTTATGGAGTAGTGATCCTGATTTGCTGGCTTGATTTTCTAATCCGTATTCATGGACAAGAAAAGCAATGCTAGCTGTGCTGGAGGAATCTCCTGGCACTCACCCTGTCTAGCCATAACCCAGGGTAATTCCCAGAGTTCAGCCACTGGTGTTTGCTGACAAGTGGATTTGCTAGGGACCGATGGGGTGCAGCCTGTTGCTGGGGGAATACGGGGGCTGAGCCAGAGTTCCACTTTGCAGCCCCCTGTCCAAGAGCATTGGTTTGGCATGGAGCCTTCGCCTCTGCAAGAAAACGACTTCTGGCCTCAGTAAACAGACTCTGAGTGTGTCAGCAGAGGCCCAGGGCTGAGTGTCCCCAGGGCTCCCCTGGAACCCACAGCTCTTGCAGCTCTGTCATGCCTAGGCTTCACCCTCCTGTACCTGAGGAGACAGAAACCTCCCACAACTGAAGATTAGAGAGAACCCAGAACCCCTGTGGTTTGACTAGGCTGAGAACTCTGCCTGGAAGAGACAATATGGGATTCACGCAATCTCACTGCTGGCCTCAATGTTCCTTGTGGTTTTTTTTTCAACCACACAACCTCCAAAGTCAGGAGAAAACAAAAGAAGCGATGTGTATTGCCCAGGGCTTTCTAGGAATTTGCTGTACTGGATTCACAGTGTCGCAGAGGGTTCGTGATACAAATTCTAACTGGGTTCTGCGAAAATTCTTCAGCATTCACACCTGTAAGTCAGAGTATTTCTAAATTCACATGTCCCCATCATGCCAGACTGCTCAGGGACACACAAGCCACACTGTTCTCTGACTTGAAGCTCCAAGCCCTTATGTAGCTAGAAGCTTTTTATTTTTTTCAGTCAGTTTTTATTTTATTTTATTTGTTTGGGGTTTTGGGTTTTTTTGGTGTTTCGAGACAGGGTTTTTCTCTGTAGCCTTGCCTGTCCAGGACTCACTTTGTAGACCAGGCTGGCTTCGAACTCACAGCAATCCCTCTGCCTCCCCAAGTACTGGGATTAAAGGTTTAAAGGTGAGTGCCACCATGCCTGGCTGCTTCAGTCTGCTTTTAAAATCCTCTCAGACCATTGCTGTTTTCTTCTTTCACTAGAATATCAGCTGAGTGACATCTCCTCTCTCTAGAAATTAATTAATTAGTAAGACCAGGCTGCCCTTGTACTCGCAGAGATCTGTTTGCCTCTGTCTCCAGTGTTGCTGGGGTTAGAGGCCTAAACCACCATGCTCCGCTTGCTCTCCCCTTCCTGGTACCTCAAGGTAAAGTGGATAGGGTGAGACTAGAGTTCAGAGTTCAGGCCTCCTGGAAAAGTTTTGACAATGGATGAGTCAAAACTTTGAGCTAAGAGATCTCAGCCACTTCTGTCAGATCAATGGAAGAGGATTAGAGAGAGCCCTCCTCCAGTCTTTCCCCACACACACCCTAAGAGGGCTCCTGTAGCCCAAGGTGATCTGCAACTCATAATGCAGAGAGAAATGATATTAAGTGCTAGAGAGTTCAGGGGCAGGCCTACACACAGACATCTTCCCAAGGCCACTCTGGAATTCACTATTGTTCTGGAGTAAGGTGGCGATTAGCCTTGAAGCAAAGCCAAGGCTAGAGAGGTTAGAGGAGCCCTAAGGACTGGTGGAATCTGGTTGCAGAGCAGGGACAGGCCATGCGGGCTCCGGATTCCTTCATTCACCCTAGCAGCCTGTATTAGTGAGGGTACAGCAGGCAGGCATTAGCGTAGACAGGAATATGGCGGTGGTCAGAAAGACAGAGTCTCTGCCCTCTTGGGCTCTGCACCCTGGCAGAAAGCACAAGGCAGAAGCCGGGGAAAGCAGACCCCTTCTGCGAGTGAGACAACATGGAGAGTCTTCCTCTGTCTCCAAAGAAGTGGAAGACTGAGCAACAACCGTGCTCCAGAGTTTCAGCTACCATGTGAAAGTTGACTTTGGCTTAAACAGTTTGTCTCGATAGCCTTGATTTCGTAATGTTTTTTATTTAATGATTGTATCTACCTCATTATATCCATGTATGTCACTTACTCTGTGTGTGTGTTTATGCATGAGCACACATACCACAGGGCATATGTGGTGTTCAGAGAACAATCTGCGGGAGTCTGATCTCTCTCTTGGTGGTGAGAGTCCTGCGGGCCCTGAGGACCGAGTTCAGGTCATTAGGCTTGGTAGCGTGCACCTTGAACTGCTGAGCCAGCTCACTAGCTCCCTCTTTTTATTATTTAATAATTTTTTTGCCACTATTTTTTAAATTTGGAAACACATTAAAATATTTTCAAGGACCTGATGATTTTCCATTCAAACAAAGCAAGTATCTATTATCTATGTTCTTGCCAAAGGAGCCGATTTTCTCTCCCCACCCTTCCTATATATATTTTTTTAAATCCCCACAGTTCTATGCTCCACTGTGGGTTCTTCCTTCTGGACTCATTCCTTTTCCTCCCCTGAGGAAAGTATTAGAACAATAAAACAGAGAGAAGCTCTTCTAGCATATTATTGATGTCACTGAGGTGCCCTCTAGTCCTGGAGAGATGAAAACTAAGAGCCTTTTTAAACGCACTCAAAGGGCTGGGAATGGTGGTCATGCATTTAATCCCAGCCTTTACAGAAGCTGGTGAGTTTGAGGCCAGCCTGGCCTACATGTTAAGTTCCAGGATAGCCAGAGCTACACAGTGAGACCCTTTTTCAATATACCCAATTTATTTTATTTTATTACGTTCACTGGTGTTTATATGTTCATTGGCCTGCATGTGTGTCGGTGCGAAGGTATCAGGAGCCGTGGAACTGGAGTTGCAGACAGATATGAGCTGCCATGTGGGTGCTGGGAATTGAACCTGGGTCCTCTGGAAGAGCGGTGAGCCGTCTTAACCACTGAGCCATCTCTGCAGCCCCATAATTTCATAAACAAACAAACAAAAGGGCAGGAGAGAACACTGGATTTGACCCAGCCCACTAACAGAGTTGAGACGCGGCTGAAGCAGCGGATTCCCTCTAAATGTCAGAATGGGGCATTTGAAGCCTGCTTGCTCCTGGGTCCTGGGTAGCTGGCCTCCTTTCCCGGCAGCCGTGTGTGCTGTCATGTACACATTGTGTGTCCTCCGGGCCCATGTGCTAAAAGGCTTCACAAGCCGTGAAGGCTACCGGAAGGTGTCAGACACGTGCGAAGCTGGGCCTTGGTGGAAGGAACGGGGGCTGTTAGGCCGAATCCAAGAAGGAGACACGGTTCTGCAGCCATTTTCTCCCTCTGGCTTCCCAGCTACCGTAAAGTCAATCCCCTGAACCGTGACATGCTGTGCCACCGAGGGCTCTGAGCAGCAACCTTCTCCTTTACGGAGCTGTTTTCCTCAGTAAGGGCATTTTGTCACAGCTACAGAAAGCTAACGGATGCGGTTGACAGTTTTTGCTGTGACCCTCAAACACTCAGAAAGCCTTGTTTTGCTGTGCGGCTATTCTCTTGAAAGCAAGTGTGCCAGTTGGGGGAAGCCTGTGGACCTTTTCCCTCATTTCCTTTCCCCTTGCTGGTCTCTCTCTCAGCGGAAGAGGCCGGTGGTGGCGGCCCCTGATGGTGAACGAAATTCCTCCTGGTTAAGATGTGCCTAAGGGCCTGCTCAACAGTTAACAGTCCTCAGGGCTCATTTCCAGCGCCCATGTCTGGTGGCTCCCCACCGGCTGTAGCTCCAGCCCCAGAAGGATCAAGTTCTTTGGGTACTCGACTTCACATGTACACACCCACACACTGATACAATAATAATAAATACTAATAAATAAAATAATAAAAACAAATGTAAGGAAAGATATGGGCCTTCTCTTTCTGAACTCCCCACCTGCAAGAGTTTTCCAAGCCATGGGCCCCACTATCGACGGTGATCCAAGATGCCAACGGAGAGAAGAAGCCTAGATTAGTTTGCTGCATAAGGCCAGGAAAGTCCTTTGCAGAAAGCACGCTTCCTAAAATGACTTGAATATCTAAGCACTGCCTGGCTCTTGGGAATTGGCTACTCCCAGAACCGTGTGGGGAAGGGCAGAGAACTACAGACCAGTTGTGACAACTTTGGCTCAAACTGTAGCTGGTGTACCACCTCTGGCATCCGTGTGGTGGCAGGCCCCTGCCTTTGCTCCCAACTTTTGACGGAACTGGCTCTGCCTCTGCTTGAGAAAAAGCATCTCTGTGTTACTTCCTCCCTCCCCACCTTCCTTTCTTTTTCCATTTTTAAAACTGATTTGTTTCATGTGTATGTGTGTGTGTGTACCTGAATGTATATTTGAGCATCATGCATGTGCAAGTCCCTGTGGAGGCCAAAATAGGATATCAGATCCCTTGTAGCTACAGTTTTGAGGGATTGTGAGCTTCCTGATGTGGTATTAGGAATGCAACCTGGGTCCTGTGCAAGCAGCAAATGCGCTTAACCACTGAGCCACCTTTCTTTCTTTCTTTCTTTCTTTCTTTCTTTCTTTCTTTCTTTCTTTCTTTCTTTCTTTCCTTCCTTCCTTCCTTCCTTTCTTCCTTCTTTCCTTTCCTCTTTCTTTCTTTCTTTCTTTCTTTCTTTCTTTCTTTCTTTCTTTCTTTCTTTCTTTCTTTCTTTCTTTCTTTCTTTCTCTCCCTCTGTGTCTGTGTGTCTTCCTTCCTTCTTTCCTTCCTTTGTTTTTTTTTTTTCCTTCTTCCTCCTCCCCCTTCTTC